GCTATCCAGATAGCTTTTAGAATTTTTACTAGCAGAGAGAGCTGTCTCAACCAGAGAGTTTTTAGAATAGCAAGAAAACACTGTCTTAGAGCGGAGCAGAGGAGAGCAGAATTCGTGTGCGCTTACACACACACACACAAACACAGAGAGAGGAGAGAGAGAGGGAGGGAGGGAGGGAGGGGGGGGGAGCAAGCAAGCAGTTTGGAAAGCTATCTCAGCATGGACCCACGATTTGACTTCAGAGTTGTTTGTTTTTGCCGCTCCCAGACACCCCTTCAGAAGCGCTCTCTAACTGAGGCTGGTCCTTGGCAAGTCCACCCCTTCAGATTCACAGAGATGTCGGGAGTGTGCCAGAATTCATCATAGAGCAGGAAGCGCTGAGGCATTGTGCATTCTCATTTGAGTTGCCTGAGCTCAGTGGGAACGTGCAGTGTGGTCATCCTAGAGGCTGAGTAGCCCACAGAGCTGAGACACTGTGGCACTGGGGTCCTCGTCTCACAGGCTGCGGAAGGACAGACAGACGTGTATTCAGCAGAAATGACCAAATATCAGAAAAGACTGCTTCCTCCTTGTGGTTTGGGTCATTCACGATAGGGTGGAGGGTGGGAATACTCAGTGATAGCTCCTCCTCAGTGAGGGATGGGGTTTGTGGGGGAAGAGCTGAGGTTGCTTGCCAATCCCCAGCTAGGAGGAACTCAACCATCACTGCATCTGTAAAGTCCTGGAGAGCACAGATGTGTCAGAAATAAGTTTTAGGCTGGGTGTGGTGGCACATACCTTTAGATAGTAGTACAGAGGCAGGTGGATTCCTGAGTTTGAAGCCTACGTCATCATAAAATGAGTTCCAGGACAGCGATCCTGTCCCAGAAGGCGCACGTGTGTGTGTGTGTGTGTGTGTGTGTGTGTGTGTGTGTGTGACTGTGTAAGTGTAAGTTTGGGGTCACAAAGAAGATCACCACACCAATAGAAGTGTCTAGATAAGGCAAAACTTGTGGATCAAGACAGTGTGTTCAAAATGTTCGAAAGAGGAAACACACACTTGGTTTTCACTCTGACTCAGGTGGTGACTATGTCTTTTCCCCATTGACTGGTCTGAAAAGAATTAGCACACAGAAAATGATGGGCCAGAGAACTAACTGTTACTGCTCCAGGTCATCAGATTGCTGGAATGTAGCTGGAGGCCTGTTGTGTAAACAAAGGTTTGACTAGGTGAGGGAATTAAAACATTTACAAGAAAGTCTTACACACAGTAGAGAGGATAAAAAAAATTTTAATTCCTTTTATAGTATTTGGTAGAAAAGCTTCATATTTAACATTTCTTACAGATGGACAAGCAGATCTCTGGGTCAGAGTCCACAGATTTATCAGAATACGCATGCAGGAGTCTAATACATGGTGTAAAGCAGCATCCTATCCACACTCTGAAAAAGATGGCTCGCTCTGTGCTCACTTGTTAGCAGTTAGTTAGCATACTGAAGCAGAAATGACAAATGGTACTAGCCTCTACCAACGTCTTATAGCAGATAGTTCAAAGATGTAAATAGACAAAATCATAACAGCTAAAAGAACCTCAGGTAGAATTATGTCAATCAGCCATCTTAGCCTTGGAGTGAAACAAGTGTCATCGCTTACCCCTACCCTAGCAGACATATTGAAGCTGGCTCCTCCCAATGTAGGTTAAAAGACACAGTCAATAGCTTGACAGGCCACAAAGGTCACCATGGAATTCTTTTTCTTTTCAGAGAACCAGTTGTTAAAAATCTACCAGCACACTATCAATAACTTCATCCCACAAAACTAAAACAATTTTGTATAGAAAAAAAAAACCCTCACTATCAATTAAAGCAAAACCAGGAAAACAAAAAGAAACATTGTAACTGTTATCACAGGTAAAAGTCTGACTTCAATATAGTATATATTTTAAACTATAAACATTATAAGTTCAGAAAAACAATCTATGAAAAAAATAAGAAGCGTATATGAACCAATATTTGCTATACAAAGAAAAGTGGAAATAGAAGTTGTTCCAAATGTAGAGAAAATATTTACCTTCATGTGAGGAAACACAGATCAGAGCCACTTGATCGAATCTCCATTTTGGATCATCAAGACCACACTAAGTCTCCGTCCAACTAAAAGACAACTAGGTAGCCACATCTAGAATTACAGGGGGCCCATACCAAGGAACAGTAACAGACAGTGGTTGCTGGGCTTACTCATAGCAGCCTTCCTTCCAATCACCACAGATCCAGGTCCCCAAACCCAGCATCATCTCAATGGTGGTCCCCCTCTCATGCAGGGAATACTGGGAAGCCACTGAAAAGGGGGTCTTTCAGTTCTGGACACTTTACTAAAGAAGAAAATCAAAGTGTTCAGCAATGTATTCTTGAATGTAAACACACACACACACACACACACACACACACACACACACTCACAAGAGTCTGTTGCAGAAATCAGAAGTAAGCTGAAGTAGCTAGTGGAACTTACTGTTTTCTCAGCCTTTGCGAACTTTGCTTTGGGACCAGGTATATGTCTCCATAGAATGAAGAATGCTTCTAGAACAACTTGGTCAGGCACCACACAGACATAAGGGACCCTGTTCTCTGACCTCAGCTGTGCTAAAGCCAGATAATCTTCCAGAATGTTCCCATCCCAAACAACCATACTTGGTCTCTAAACCTAGACTCCCTGGACTAGACACTGAGATCCAAGGGCCTCCTCAGCATCAATTATTGAGTGTCTCACATGTACCTAGCCCCAACTCTTCTCCTCTTACTCCTCTAGCAACATCCTTATCACAGCAAAGGATGTCTATCCTCCCAGGAACCTAAGTTGAAAAGATATGTCATGGAGACCCCATTTCACACCATATCACAACAAAGAAATGCCAGTACAGATCTGTGATCTTACTCATCCCAGCTGTAATACCTCCATGGCTTTTCTTTTCACTCCTGTGATAATCACCTCTCAGGAGTAAGCACAGACCACAGTGACTGCCTGGATGCCACTTAAATAGAATAATCAGAGTGAGCATCACGAGAGACAGACAGATGGATGTATGTCACAAGCTCTGTGATGAGGTATTGGGAGGACACAACCCCCTGTTTCCTGTTAAAGATTGAGCTCAACCCCATTACAATGATCCCCATACAGATTCCTGTTCACTTCATAGAAGTCTCAGGTACTAGGACAGACTGAAGAGGCCAAAAAGACCCAAGAACTGGTATGACTGAAATCTATAATTGGACTAAGGAGGAAAATGCATATGCAAAACTATTAGATCATTAATGAAACTTTAATACAAGTTATAAATGCATACACACATATGCTAATACTAGTCTTACTTTCCTATTGCTGTGATTAAACACTACAACAAGAGTTTACCTTGGCTTACAGTTTCAGAGAGTTAGTGTTCATGGTGGTGGAGTGAAGCAACAGCTGAGAGCTCACATCTTAGTCA